GCGGCGGCGGCGGCGGCGGACGCGGACGCGCGAGAGGAGGCCGAGGCGCGCGCGCGGGCGGTCAGGCGGGCCGCGGTGTGGCTGCTCGTGGTGCGGCCGTGCCCCAGGTGCGAGGTCGAGACGGTCAAGGCCGGGGGCTGCAACCACATGACGTGCCGGTGCGGCGCGCACTGGTGCTGGGTCTGCGGGGAGGAGCAGCCGGAGAGGTCCGTGTACGACCACATCAACCGCGAGCACGGCGGGATATACGGCGACAACGTCGAGGACCTGCGGGGCGACTACCGGGCCGCCGAGTTTGGGGAGGACGTGGAGGAGGTCTACTAGTGTTTTTGCGGTCGGCGTAATCCAGGGGCTAATGTTGCGTTTAATATAATGGCAAGGATGAACCCGTATTTGGCTTTGGTTTTCTGCTGCTGCGTGAAGACTATCTTGGCTGCGCTAAAAGGCGCAAACGGAAGGCCGTATTCCAAGTCACATCGAACTGCCCAAACACCAAGCAAGCACACGGTATCGTATCCCCCGGCTCGGGTTCTGGGCGGTAGCACGGCTCCGTAGCATTCCCGTGTCAAAACTAGCCCAGAGAAAGGGCGATGAATCATGAGGGATTATCAGATACCAGCCTCGGCACAATCACCTCAATGCTGGAGGTAAATGCAGCAAGCCGGCGTGCAAGCTTACACGAAATCGTCAAGGCCGAAAGGTTCTAAGCTCAGTGCATGTCTCGATGGCTTCTTCCACTTTTTTGTATCCCGTGGAAAGGCGGTTAATCACAGCCCGCACCACCTTGAGTGGGATCGGTTCCTGGGCTGCAAGGTAGGTTCCGGAAGCCCTGCCAGTCAAGGGTCAGTTAGGCCTGGGAGCAAGGTTTCCTCGAACTGTGACCGTAGTATCTTGAATCCTGGACTTCGCTGCTCTATCAAGACTTTGCCGAGCGAGTCGACGAAAAGGATAACAAAACCTTCTCCCCCGGGGCCTGCCGAAAGAAAAAGCACCCTGACGACGACGGGGTTCCGGTCTTGATTCATTGGAACGATGGCGCTGCGATGGACCGTCGATCCCTTGCCGGGCCGTCGCCTGGCGTTAGCTCGCGCAGCACAGCTGCAGTGCTGATAAAACGCCGGCCCCTGATTGGCCGCCGCCCCTCTGGGCTGCAGCTCTTGTCCCTGCTGGGCTAAGTTCGCCGCTTCGGGGCGCGGGTCAGCTGAACCTGGGATCCATCCCCTCCCTCCTGCTTGGCTGGCTTCCACGGCGTTCCAAGACGTTGGGCTGCCCGACTTATCGGTGCGGTTTATTCGACTCAATGCCCTCCTCCCTCATGCCCTGGAGGGGTAGGCCGCCCATGAACATGTTGGTTTGTATTTTATGATCGCGTCGTCTCGACAATTGTGCTCGGCTGGCCACATGAGCTCCGTACCGACGCCATCTGGCACCCATGAGGAACACTAAACTGGAACCTGCGGTTGACTGCCGCCTCCCGCTGCTCAACCACAGTGCGAAATATGGACACATCACGCCTAATCGACAAAGAAGCGCTCCATGGGTGGCCGGCCTCACACTTGTCGCTTTCCTGGCCGTGTGCTACAGATTTGCCGTTATTCACGCCGCGAAGAGCCTTTTCCGAGACACCACACCCCCGACGGCCACAAAACCGGACGGTCAATGGTCTTGGGCAGCGGTATGTCCCCCTTGCACCTCCCAAAGGCGATAGATTCTGCATGGCGCCCTCTTTGTTGACGAACGAGCAGCTTGAATCCAGCAGATCCCTAACATGGCATCGGTGCTACGATGATGGCTACGATTGTGCTCGTCTGGACGTGAGGCGACCTTATACCCTGACGGATCAGGCTAGGTTATGATCTAACAATTTCCCCGAGATATAGGTCCCCATGGACTGGTTGGACCCATCCAACAACAGCCGCGTCGTGCTGGCAGTGATGCGCCTTCGTGCCACCAACATGACGGACTACCGCGGCCCTGTCTTTTTTAATCCAGGGGTCAGTAAGCTGCCCGGCGTGGCATTGACTACTTTTAGATGCCGTTGGGCCGTCTTCTAACATTTTCTTCCAGGGACCTGGCGGTTCAGGCATCTGGTCAATGCTTGATCATGGGGAACATATCCAGGCCATCGTTGGTGCGGACCATGTGCGTACCGGAGGTTGCCCTTACTTTTACGGGCTCTCGCTGACGGTCATATTAATGCAAGGACATCGTCACTTTCGACCCTCGGGGAGGTATGTGATTTTTTGCTTTCGTTCGAAGCCCATCGACCGCGGGTCTACGACTGACCGTTGCCGCAGTCGGCGTCTCCGTTCCCAGATTAGAGTGTTGGAGCTCGAGGCAGGAGCGGACCTTCTGGGGGCTTGCCGAGGTCGGCGTGTCAGACTCGCATCCGGGCGTACTATACGACGAATACGCCCGAGCCGTCGCCGTCTCGTCCCGATGCGAGGCTGCATTGGCGAATTCGGACATTCTACGGCACACAAGCACGGTCTCGCATGCCCGCGACATGCTCGAGATACTCAACCAGATGGGGCATGATAAACTCAAGTACTGGGGCTTTAGCTACGGCACCATTCTAGGCGGCACCTTTGCCGCCATGTACCCGGACAAGGTCGAGCGACTGGTGTCTGATGGTAGGTTCGCACTGCTTGGTCCGCATCAGACACGCATAGTAGGGCAGGTTGTTTGGCTCGGGGTTATTAATATGCAGTTTCTGTCTCGCAGGAAACGTCGATTACAACGAGTGGTACAGGGGAGCGCATGTCAACTTTCTCCGCGACGCCGACAAGGTTCTCGACAGTTTTTACAAGCTCTGTTCCCAAGCCGGTCCAGTCAAATGTATCTTCTACGAGACGTCACCCGCAAAGGTTGAAAAGAGATTCCGAAACCTGCTAGAGAGGCTACGGGAAAGACCCGTCGTTGTGCCGGCTAAAGCGGACGATGAAGACGAGGGCCCCGAAATGCCCCAGATAATAAGCTACTCCGCCCTGCGGCGCATGCTGTCCTCGGTCCTCTACCAGCCCCTATACCTCTTCCCCGAGTTCGCTCGCGTTCTTGCCGCTCTCGAGGTCGGCAACGGCCTCCCGTTTCTGCGCATGGCTGGCGCGCGCCACTCGTTGCCTTTCGAGTCCTTTTGTCCGTCTGGTCCCAACCCGATCGAGCCGACCGTGCCTCCATCGGCCATAGGCGAAGACACCGAGGATGCGTTTCCGGCCGTCATGTGTGCCGACTCGGAACCTTGGGGCAACAAGACGGCGCAGGACTTTGCGTTGGTGGCCGAGGGGCTGCGCAACGTCAGCTTTGCCATCGGCGCCGTGAGCAGCGTCATCAGGTCTGCCTGTGTTGGAAGGCTGGTCAGGCCAAAGTGGCGCTTTACAGGTGAGTGGCTCTCTCTCTCTTGTCAAGCTGTGTCGCAGTGGCTAAATTGACAAGAGTCTCATCCCGTGCATCCAGATACCTTCCAGGTCAAAACCGGGTTCCCGGTCCTCTTCATCGCCAACATGGCCGACAACGTGACGCCGCTGGTCAGCGCCCGCAACAACTCTCGGGGGTTCGAGGGCTCCGTGGTGCTCGTGCAGAATTCGTACGGACACACCACCCTCGCCGCGCCGTCGACGTGCACGGCCGCGCGGATCAGGGCGTATTTCCAGCAGGGGTCGCTGCCCCCGCACGGCGCCGAGTGCGAGGCCGACCAGCAGCCCTTTGGAGAGTATGCCGGGAAGTCTGCTTTCACGGGGTTTGGGTCGGCAATTGCGCCGCACGAGGTAGCGGGTTTGGCGCGTGCCACCTTGGAGCTCTCGAAAAAGGCGTCAACTAGATTGCGGACGGGGCGGTTCTAGATGGCATCGTGGCGGTGTGCAGGAAAGTGCGGGTTTAAAGACGCGGAGTATATACGATAGATTATATCTACAAAGAATACAAGTATAGCTAAGAAGATGTGAAGGAGAGTAAAATCCAAGATATGTACACAGTAAAGGGCGAACATCGAGAGCCAAAAGGCTCAAGTCTGAGACGCAGGTTCGTATACTTTTCCAAGCCGTCCACAAATTCAACCGACTGGAAAGAAATGTGTCAAGGCAGTCTCGAGTAAGGGGAGAGCCAGAGAAGGTCAAGGACAAGCCAAGGGAGCCCGAAGTAGCTGACTCCCCATGCAGCGTCTCACCTAGCGGGAGAGGTCGACGGTGACGGTGCCGCCGTTGGAGAAGCCCTGGCAGCCGCCCTCGGGGTTCCCGTTGCGGGTGCCGTAGTTGGCGTGCGGTTGGCTGCCGGGCTTGCAGTCCTTGAGGTTGTAGCTGCCCGAGGTGCCGCACGTGTTGCCGCTCTTGCAGACGAAGACGCACTTGTTCATGTTTGACGTGCAGCCGCCGCTCGTCTTGATGCTCATGGGGTTGCCGTTCATGCGCACGAGGCGGCTGACGTCGACGGTGCCGTACTGGCCCGTCGTGAACTCGCCCCACGTGTTGTAGATCTGGCCGTAGCTCGACAGCTTGACGTTGCGGTTGTACAGGCCCGCCCAGCCGCCGCTGATGCCGTTGGGGACCGAGACGGTGACCGAGTCGCCGGCCTTGGCGAGCGTGTACGAGATGCGGGGCCGGCGCACGTTCATGAATGAGGACTCGAAGTCGTTGGGCTTCATGTGCCAGACGATGATGTTGATGGGGCACGACGGGCTGGACCGGTTGATGAACTTGAACTTGTTGGGCCCCTGGGTCCCGATCCACATGATGCTGTTCTGGCTCGTCGGGTTGTACCCCTGTCCGGCCATGCCGATCTTGGACATGTGCTCGCAGTCGGCCTTGGCGAGGCCCCGAACGGGCGAGCTGCAGCTGAAGGCGCGCTTCTCGATGATGCCGGCCGTGGTGCCGTTGTGCCTGGCGTGGGCAAGGGTGAGTTAGCATGTAAAAAGGTTTGCCAGTATCGCGAGGGGCGGGGGAGCTGCTCACTCGACGTGCTGCGGGATATAGCTCGCGGCGGCGGTGGCGGCGAGGCCCAGGAGGGCCGCGGCGTTGGACAGGGAGAAGAACATTTTTGGGCAATTTATCGAGGAAGAGGAGTTGAGTGATGGAGCTGAAATCACAGCCCTGGTTTATGAGCAGCTGTTGGCGGGGGTGCGTGATGGTGAGGATATCGGAGGCTGGTCTGTCTCTGATGTGGAATGCTTGCGATGGCCCGCTTCTCTATCCACCTGGACTTTCTCGAGGCCATGCTCGTACTTATACAAGATGCGTTCTAGTCGTAATGGTGTTATCTCCATTCCGTCTTTTGCACACCCGACGAGCTCGGTCGCCATATCTGGACTCTTTTCGAGGCCGATACGCCCCCCTTCCTCACCTCCGCACCCATCGTCTTCGCAGCCGCATGAGCGATGGCCAGCGGGTAGGCGATTACTTGCCCCGAAGGGGCTCGGTAAGAACGGCCGCCACCCGAAGGAATGCTCATCAAGGCCAGCCCTAAGACATTCGGCTGGCCCCGAGGCTGGCTAGACCTCGAGACTTGGCCCGGTGGTGCCAGCCAGAGGCGCGCCCCCCTGACGAGGTGGCTCGTTCCAGTCCGCATCCTTCTCCCACGCGTGATAGACATCACCAAGCCAATGGAATTTGGATCGGGCCGTTCGACTGTCATCAAGCCCCGACAGAGGTGTGCCTTGCTTGGCGGCAGGCCTCTTTATTGGTAATTCTGCAGTACCTGGCCTGACATATCCACCTTTATCAGAGGTCGTCGCAGCACCCCCACATGGCGCCCTGCATGGTTCCTTGCAGATATCTCGTCGGGAATCGCGCATGTGCAGCAGCCTGGAACGTGGCCCGACGGCCCTGGTGCAACTCTTTTATTGATCCTTCCGTGCGGTGACGCCCGTCAGCACTCGATCTCCACATCCGGTGCCCTGTGAGACGACTTGGCCTGGCGAAGGAGGATCTAAGTCGTTCCCTACGCCGCGGCCGGATCATCGGCTCTAAGGACAGCACAAAAGGGGCAAGAAATCTTTAATCCGGCCGTCGGTGGCGTGAGAACTCGGATCGGGTGAAGGGGTTCTGCGCCCTACGTGTGACACCAATCAACGCGGCGCCAGCCCTATGTAAATGGGGGTATCCGAAATTTTATATCGCCGAGATTGGAACTGCAGGTCTAGAACCGGTCAATTGGCCTCCTTGATCTGGATGTGAGAGCACACAGGGGGTCGGCGGTCAGCGGCACAGCTGGTGCTGATTTCGGCGATAACTAAGCCAAATTCTCTCGAGCTGACAAAAACACGCCCAGCAAAAACTCGAGAGACTAATTTCATCTGCACTCGCTCAAGGTGCTCCAGGTACCCGAAAGCCGCCTGAGCTGACGCTGCTGGGCTCCTGTCCAGCACAGCCCTTCTTCTCCTCGGCCGTCATGACGAACTCAACATTCCTGGCCGAGAAGAACTGGTCAAAGTCTACCCGACACCGGCCCACAGACTTTCCATCCAGCCTCAGGTCGTCGACGAAGGCGCGCGCGCCGGCGGGGATGGTGCTGTTGAGGCTGGCCGGGTCGAAGCCCGTGACGGTGACGCGCACGTCGCCCAGCAGCTCGTTGTGGACCGTGTAGCCCGGCAGGAACGGCGACAGCACCAGCATCTCGGCCGAGGCGGGCACGGGGTAGAGGCCCAGCATGTACCAGACCACCAGGCTCGACATGGCGGCGTTGTCGTCGTTGCCGGGCGAGCCGCCGCGCGTGAGGTTGAAGTTGTCGAGCACGACGCGGCGCGACTCGCGCACCGAGCTGCCCGGCAGCCCGACGTGGTGGTACAGCGACGGCGTCTGGAAGCTGGGCTCGTTGCCGACGACGTTGTAGCCCGCGCCGAAAAAGCGGCGCAGGCGCGCGGCAAAGGTGTCGTTGCCGCCCAGCAGCCGCACCAGCCCGGCCCCGTCGTGCGGCGCGTAGAAGCTGTACTCCCACGACGAGCTCTCGTGCCCGCCGTAGACGTTGGTCGATTGCAGGCTGCAGGGGCGCGTCGCGTTCTTGTCGAGCGGCGAGCAGTCGGTCGGGTCCGACGGCAGGAACGTGCCGTTGGCGAGCCGGCGCGCCACGAAGCCGCGGAACCCGTCCGACTCGAGCGCCATGTTGTAGTTGGCGCTATAGCCGAGGCTGCGGTCCAGCAGCGGCCGCCACACGTTGGGGCTCTTGCCCAGCGCCCGCGCGGCCATGGCGGCCGCAAAGTCGCCGAAGCTGTACTCGAGCCCGCGGCTGAACTCGCGCGTGTGCTGGCCGACGGCGTCGCGCTCGAGGAAGTCGTAGGGGATGTAGCCCAGCCGGTTGTAGGCCTCGTTGTTGCGGCCCTCGTAGTCCCAGTTGGCCGGGGTGGCGTCGACGTCGTGCTCGAGCGCGGCCCAGTAGTCGTCCATGCTGACGCCGAGCTCGGCCGCGCGCGCGCCGTACTTTACCACAAAGTCGGCCACCACGGGCACGCCGTTGTTGCCGCCCTGCACCCAGCCCTTGACGTTGTTGGCGCGGCACTCGGGCAGCCAGCCCTCGCGCCGCCAGCCGTCGACGTACGAGTCGGTGATGTGCGCCATGTCGCGCGGCGACGTCAGCGCCATGAGGGGGAACAGCGTGCGGTACGTGTCCCAGCTACAGTACAGGCCGTCAAAGTACGGGTGCGCCGAGTCCGTGTAGGGCGGCGGCGCGTCGCCCGTGGCGTTGTTGGGCGACAGGAAGGTGCGGTAGAAGTTGGTGTAGAAGAGCCGCCGCATGTAGTCGGGCGTGCCCTCGGCCAGCTCGATGCGCCCGAGCTTCTCCTCCCAGAGGCCGTTGCTGTCCGCCACCAGCCTGTCAAAGTCGGGTGCCGCCGGGATCTCCGCCTCGAGGTTCTCGCAGGCCTTGGCCGCCGACACGAACGAGACACCCCGGCGCACGACCACGGTGCCGTTGGTGGCCCCGAAGCGCACGATGGCGCCCGCGTGCGTCGGCTGCGTGAGCGCCGGGTTGCGACGCCGCTCGGACCAGGGCGAGAAGCGCCAGGCGTCCGTGTCGTTGCGGCGCGCGTCCCAGCCCTCGGCGTTGGCGCCCCAAAAGTCGTAGTCGGTGACCTTGCCCGAGACGGACAGGTCGACACACTGGAAGGCCGAGTAGCGGAAGATGCTGGGCCCGAAGCTGCTGAACCACGTGCCGTTCATGAGGATGCGCTGGGCGGCCCAGTCGGCCTGCATGTCGCCGTAGTTGAACGAGTGCGTGCCGTCCGTGGTCCAGTCCAGCACCAGGGTCGGGGGCACGCCCGCCGGGAACGTGTAGCGCTCCAGCGACGCGGCCCGGGTGGACGCGGCCTCGACCAGCACGCCGTTGGCCAGCGGGGTGCTGAAGTAGCCCGGGAAGCCGCGGTCCTTGGCGCCGTCGCCGTCGCGCCGCAAGCCGCGGGCCGTCTCGATGGTCGGGCACGAGGCGAAGTCGCCGCACACGACGGGCATGATGCTGTACTGGCCGTAGCTGCCGTCGGCGCTGCCCGTGCCCGAGTCGTGCAGCGGCGACAGCCCCTTGACCATCTCGGTGGACTCGGACACGTACCCGGCCGGCGCGTAGCCGGCCACGTTGATGGTTACCTTGGCCATGCCGAACGGCACCGACGCCCCGGCGAAGACGTTGCCCGGGTCGCTGTTCTGCGCCGTGCCCACGAAAACGTCGACGAACTGCGTCAGAGGCCCAGGCGACACCACAGCCACTGCCCTGGCGATGCCCAGCGCTGCGAGCGCCGTGCACCGTTGTCGGCGGGACCCCATAGCTGCCATGTGTTTGGGAGTAATGCCGTGCTAATGGTCATGTCGCCAAGACGAGCCATTAAAACGTCAAGGGTGGCGGCGAAGGGATATTAAGAAGGCGCAGGACTTGCCAGAAGCAGAAAGAAGCAGCATCGCCTGCCGGGTGCGATTCATGGTATAATATGATTTGATAACGGACCGTTAAGATCGGCCGACGTGAGGGGTTGGTGACATCCTCGCCCGCACCGTGACGTCGGCACGATGCCACAGCATAAATCCCGCGTGGTTTGCTGCGGGCGATTCCCCTCTCACAAAACTGGGTTCTGGCGTTCCGCGAAGTTTTGGCTCGTTCTGTTGCGCGGGACTTGAAAGCAAAGTTTGCTTGTATGGGCAATTAACCCGAGTCCGCCTCCGCCGTTGCCGTGCCAAATTACTATTTCAGAGCGTTAGAAAAGGAGATGGGGTGGAACATCCGGCTTGGGAGCGTGCCAGTAATGGAAGCTGGTATCGACGCGGACATATTCACAAAATTGATCCACACGAAGCCATTTATTGTTCCGCTAAACTGAAAAGAATCCTGTCGCACACCCACAAAGCTCTGTGCCCTGTTTGCACTTATCGCTCAAAAGTGTGGAATCATGTCCGACCACTCCGGAGTTCGATACGCAGACTCTGGCATCTGCCTGATGCTGATAAAGGCCTCGATGACGATAAAGACACGGGCTAGAACCAAGCTGAATCCACAGATAAAAACCACGACTCCTAGCAGGAGACTCTGCCAGAGGGGCTTCTTGCCATCCATCCAGTGCTCCCAAAACTGGTTCAGTCGCCTGAACCTCGCGACCAGAAAGTTCAGCACGACCCAAAGTCCTCCGCAGAATGTGATGTAAGCCGCAGAGGATCGCCACATCCACTTCTCGACCTCGCTTGGGAAATAGTCGTTCCAAGCGGCGGCGTGGATTCCGCCGTAGCAAAGGTTGGCGAGCCATAGCACCATGCCCACAACGAGGCCATCCACATTGCGGAGGAGATCGTCAGATGGCCAGTTGCCAATATGGCTAGCGACGAGCTGCTCCGGTTTGAGGTGCGTGCAGCGTATTCCATCCCCGAGGCTATGCACCAGGCTGGCCCTCCCCTCGAGAAGGAATGGGTAGTGTTGCAACGAACGGAGTATACAGTCCCATCTCCTGCTATCGTTGGATGATAGGTGGGCGCCCTCTGGGGGCGAGCTAACCACTCGCGGGCGTCTCTCGAAGAAAGCAGTTCCTTTGTCCTTCTCCCGCTGGCACTGGACTTGGGCAAGGCAAGAGTCCGGCGCGTGCTCGATCTCTCCTCGGACCTCACCTTTTACAGTCACCACCGGTTTTTTGGGATCGTCTGAGTCGTCTTGAGCGGTCGAAGCCTGCTGCGCCGAGCGGAGGCGTAAAGTCTCCAACTCTGGCGTTTTCGAGTAGTGGCTGAGATGAGCGAAGAGGGTCTTGATGATTGTTTGCGACTGCACCTTGTTGGGGTCGACGTAGCCGCTCATCTCGCTGCTGGAGTACATAAATGCAGCGAGCGGTAGGAGGCTTTGGTCGCGGATGATCAGGGGCTCTCGCGGCAGCAAGGGCTTATGCCACCAGAACAGGTACATTGCGAATGCGCACAGCCTGTAGGCGTGGTTTCAATCAGCACCAACCACGAATGCCACCAATGTTGAATCAATGAGGGGAATTCAGAGCGACTCACACATGGGCAACAGTATTCACTTCGACCAAGGTCACGGGCAAGCCTGCGGCGAGTCTCCCAAGCACCTGTACCAGCATCCATGTTGCTTGCAGAATCACCATCGCTTTTGCGAGATCGTTTGCCTTGCTCTTATCCTCTATCTCAGCGCGGCTGACGTCTGGGATATGGCCGCAGCGCGCGAGGAGAGCCATGCCGCGAGCTGTGAGGGTGAGCCGTCTTGGAGCTTGGCTCTCTTGCTCTTCTCGGGATGTCGACAGCGCCTCAAGCCCAGGGAATTCGAAGGCAAACCCCCCGGTGCATGCGAAAAAGCTGTGTGTCATGGTCCATTCGGGTCCTGCTGAGCCAGCTCGGGTTGCCTTGGCTTCCACTACTAGAGCCTGAAGTAGTCTTGCGGACGACCACTGCCTCCAGGCGGCGAAGACGACGAGCTCTGGGGCGTAGATGCCCGCAATGACCCATCTAGCGCTGAGGAGCGCATCTCTGGTTGCGGTCTGGTTTGAGGGTGGGACATTGAAGTGTAGGGCCGACCAAACGCAAAGTATGAGTGTTAGGATGGAGGAAAGAAGAAGCGAGATGGTGCCCCGGCCGTGAGGGTCGCTGACGTATCCCACCACCACCAAGTCGACGGTGGCGTTTGGCATCGTGATAGCATGGAGGAGAATATGATTGAAGGATTCCCGTCCGGGGATAGAGAGAGGAGGCCGTGTTAAGTCAATGCCACAGATGAAGCATCGACATGGAAGCAAACGCCGTGTTTGCTGGGCCGCAGGTTGAACCTGCAGGTCATTATATTTAGACGCATAGATCCCCGATTCTCGTAGCGCCTTGTCTTCCGCTTTGGAAATGCATATCAAGCCCAGATCTTCTAAGAGCAGCCTCGTCGACAAGACTCCCCCGGCGGCTACAGGCAGGCCACGCCGTTGGGCCTGGTCCTGCTTCAATGATGCATTTGATTGTTTCAATTGCGGGATGTTCTTTTGACGCAGCCCCACCATGGGTGGCCCCCACCCCCACCAACCCCATCTTGGCGAGCTGGCTGTCGCCTTTTACTGGACGCGTCGCGTCAATGCTTGCAAACCGCAGGCAAACAAGCGCCAGCACATGCATGCTTTTAGCGCCCACTACCCCTAATTTTGCCGAGGCCTAAATCCAGCTGTGCTCAATGTCGCATCAAAAGGCTGCGGGTGGTCGGGGCGTCTCGCAAGGCACACTTGTTGTTGCGACATCCCAGCTTTGCAGCACAGTTGTTAAACATCTCCATTTGCTTTGCTTTCTGCCACACTGGCATCTCATTTTCTGTTCCAGGCGATGGGAAGAAACGCCCAAGGTCCGGCCGCCGGGGACGGATTCCTAACATGGGCTGAGATTGGTAAGTTGCCGCGAAAGCTGCTGCGAGGCGTTGCATTGTGGGACGAGGACAAAGGCTAACTTTGATGTGCGTCTCTCATAGCCCCCTGGCAACAGTACGTGGACTTTGACCAGTTTGGAAGGAATTTATGTTTAACAAGAGGCCACGCACACGCACAGAGACAACGAATTTATTCTGACGGGCTACCGGTACGTCCTTCTGCCTTATTTACCTAGACGTAGCTTGAAGCTGACATTCATCTACTATAGACGCGCTTCGTTCTCTTACATCACCTCGATATGGAGCATCCTAGCCATCCACAATGAGACCAGTATGCATATCAACACCCTACCTCGCTCGTACATATGGAATAACCAAGAGCTAACAACGTACCAGCAAACATCTGGTCCCATCTGCTCGGCGCACTCCTCTTCGCTGGCCTCTTTGCCCACTTCTTCATCCTGTCGCACCTCGCGGACGGGGTGAGAACCGAGGATGGTGTTGCTCTGGGTGTATACTACATGGCCGTGGTTGTCTGCTTCGTCCTGTCGACCTCATTCCACACATTCTCCGACCACAGCCCGGAGATACACAAACTAGGCAACGAGCTCGACCACTTGGGCATCGTCTTCGTCATGTGGGGCACCGGCGTGTCGCTCGCACACTTTGCATTCTACTGCCACCCCGCCATCCGCAACGTCTATCTCGTCCTACTAACCGCCACCGCCGTCGGCTGTGGCATCTTCACCCTGCAGCCCAAGTTCCGGCAGCCATCCTACCGGCTCGTCCGCTTCCTGATGTACGCCCTGCTGGGCGCCAGCCTGTTCACCCCCGTCGCTCAGGGACTTCGCCGGTTTGGCTGGCAGGGCCTGGACGAGATGGCGGGACTCGACTCCTTCTTCGGCCTCGCCGCGGTCAACTTCTCCGGCTCGGCCGTGTACGCCATGCGCGTCCCTGAGCGCTGGTTCCCCGGCCGCTTCGACCTGCTCGGCCAGAGCCACAACTGGATGCACCTCCTGGTCGTCACGGGTGCCCTGATCAGGCTCAACGGGCTGGTCCAGGTGGTGGGCCGGTGGCAGGGGTACAATGGAGCTGCGCTCGATGGGTTTTGCGCCAAGCTAGAATGAGCACCTAGGGAATTAAGATGTGTGTTGGACGATTTTGCGGCTGGTTCCATTGCTCCATGGAGTCAAGATGATGAGCGATCTACGCGCAGCGGACGTGACTTGCGCTTTGGGCGTGAAGGCTTTGGCATGATTTGCAGCTCGCTACGTCGTATAGAATGGAACAGAGTTATTACTATCGGAGTCTCTTGAGATACAGTGGGTAACCAAAATAAACGCAAAATGTTCAAAAATTTCCTTATTCGTGGAAATGCGCTGTAAGTGCGCTGTAACCTCGTATAATAAAAAAGCAAATACGAAAACATGAACAATTTTATCCCGCACTATATTTGACACATAAATAATGTCTTATGCGTTGCCCTAAAATACGTCCCTATTCTCTTTTTTGCATCATTTCTGTTAATTTTGTGTTCGTTGGCCAAACCCGTTGTTTTGGCTGTAAAAAAGCGGATTTCTAAAATTTTGCGTTTTTTTTTGTCAGGACTGTATAGGTGTCCAGGATCACAAACAACTAGTGCGGTGGAGCAAGATACATTTTCTTCCTTAGAAAACCAAGCCAAACTGATGTACCACCAAGATCCACCGCACTAGTGTTTGTGATCCTGGACACCTGTACCTCAAGTCAAGCTGGCCGCTTGCTGGGATCACAGGCGGCGTAAACTATACTGAACAAGGACTGGATTGTGGCAGTAGCAACAGTGGTATGGTATCCCATGACCTTCTTGATGCCGGTGTGCTGGTATCCATCCCCTCACTTGCCCGGCCAGCCGAGTTTAAGCACTGCCGTGGTGGTTGGGAAGCTAGGCATCGGAAACACCCGCAAATTAAGCGCTATAAACGCTAGGCTCTTCGCTATAGCTCGTTTCGGCCCGGAGCTACCTAGCAGTGGGCCTAGTGCAGATAATGGACGATCCCCACACCGACTCCGGGCTTTAGTGGCAGGGAGGGGATAGATTTGGGCGTGGATGGGCGTTCGAATCAAGATCTGGTCCATTCTCCCTGGACAAATTCGAGTTGCGCCAGACATTATGGCGGCAGAAGAATGCAATGTGTTGCAACACAGGTTTGGAAATTCCCAGCACAAGTTTACACTGCGGAGCATGAGGCTTTGTATGTAGCTATTTACCAAGTATTTTGTTGGTAGCAACACAGAGTGCAAGGCTTCTCCTCCGAAGCCAATCGGGACGCCGTCCTGTCCATCCAATGCAACGTCCCGCGAAAAAAAAACGCAGGTTGAGACAAAGAGGGGGTTATCAAAACGACACAAAGATCTCAAATTAAGGAGCAGCCTCCCGATGGCAGGATATTGAAGTTTATCGAGTCTATGAATCGCATCTCCAGTGCTTTGACAGTGGAGGGATATCGTCACGTAGTGCCGGCGATGGCGTCATTGACCATTTCCAGGATGTTGAAACATACTCGACAGATTCCGAGTCGTGCCAATCATCAAGCCTAGTAGGGCACCCACTTGGCCTCGAGGTTGGAATCCGGTAGTGTTCGCCTGCGATCCAGCCAGTGGTTGTCTTGAACATGCACCCTGCGAGATGGACTTGGGTCCGAGAGGGGTACAAGGTCCCAGGGTTCGCAAACCTTAGTACGGTGGATCCTGGTGGTACATCAGTTTGGCTTGGTTTTCTAAGGAAAAAAATGTATCTTGCTCCACCGCACTAGTGTTTGTGATCCCTGGAACCTATACAGAGGTGCGGGAGTTAGCTAATCGCCGATCCCCAGCTCTAAAGCTCTACTTCTGTGCTTTACGCGATAGAATCCTGCATGTCTTTACTGGTGGCTGGCGCGGAGGACGCGGTCGCCCCCCCCGCGATGGGCCTGGTGAATGCCGAAGCCGTCCATCCAGATCAATGTGGCGCTGGCCACGACTTACAGCGGTATGCGCTAGGGGGACAAGGGGCGCCGAATATTGCAGTAGATCACTCTTTCCGGGGCGGCGTCGCTGTGGCGACTCCGCTTTCTGTCCCCACACCAGCTGGGCATGCCGACAATGGCGTCGAGCACAGCAGGCACCATGCTCACTGCTACGCTGCCCAGGGAGGATCGACAACAACCCGACTCCAATACCGGACACCGAGACATGCACAATCAGAACCCGGTGGCACGCATGCGATGTCGTGTCCGACGCTGGAGGGTGCCCGCCAGTGCCGTGTCTATAAACAGCCGCGGGTAGCCTCCTCCTTCGTCACGTTGATGACTTGTCTCACCCAGCTCCAGCTCGCAGCTTCAGCGCCAGACCGGTCCTTGATTCTCCTGTCCTTGCCTTCCCAGTCTCGCCGTCATTGCCCGCCATGAAGGTCTCTTTCCTCTCCCTCCTCTGGTCCGCGGCCTCTAGCGTGGTGCTGGCCGTGCCCATCGCCGACAGCCTGGTGTACGACGCCATCATCGTTGGAGGTGGCCCCGCTGGGCTCGCGGCCGCGAGTGCCCTCGGCCGAGTGCGCCGCACCACTCTCCTCATTGACTCTGGCGACTATCGCAATGGTCCTACGAGGCATATGCATGATGTCCTCGGGTTTGATGGTGAGCTCGGCCTCTCCTTATTTTCCACCGACGTTCCCCCTTTGTAGTTACTGACCATCGTTTCCAGGCGTGACCCCGGCGTACTACCGTCACGCGGCCCGTCAGCAAATCTCGCACTACACGACCGTTGTCTTCGCCAATGGCACCGTCTCGAGGATCAGCGGTAACGACACAGACCACTTTGTCGTGACCACTACCGGTTTCGACGGCAGGACCTTTGATGTCCGCTCCCGGAAGGTCGTTCTCGCCACGGGCCTGAAGGACAACCTTCCTCAAACCCCTGGCATGTGGGAGAACTGGGGCAAGGGATTGTACTGGGTAGGCCGTCCTGTCACACTGCTGCCCAACCATCTCTCGTTCGCATTTGCTAACAGCTCACCCCGCAGTGCCCCTGGTGTGACGGCAACGAGCACGCCGACCAGCCCCTCGGCCTGCTGTCGGACAAGTTCTCGAACCTGCCCTCGCTCACGCGCGAGATCCTGAACCTCAACAAGGACATCATCGCCTTCGCCAACGGCACCGACACGGCCGAGGCGCGCGCCCAGACCGAGACCAAGAACCCAAGGTTTACAGAGTACCTCGCGCTGCACAACGTCACGGTTGAGAACCGCATCATCTCGCGCATCACGCGCCTCAGGGACGGCGGCGATCCGCCCCACGACCCGTCGCTGCCGACGGCGCCCGAGAACGACCTCTTCTCCATCGAGTTCACCACGGGCGATCCCGTCCAGCGCGCCGCCCTGTTCGTCGAGTACCCGAACGAGCAGCGCTCCAGGATCGGCCAGGAGGCGGGCGTGCAGCTCTGGGGCGGCCGCCTCGCCGTGGACCCGACCAAGGGCCTGGTCACAAATGTGCCGGGCATCTACGCCATCGGGGACGCGAACTCGGACAACAGCACAAACGTGCCCCACGCCCTCTTCTCGGGCAAGCGCACCGCCGTCTTCTTGCACGTGCGGCTCGCCAAGGAGGACCAGGCTAGGGAGACGGGCGTCGATGTCTCCCTGCTGCGGAGGGACGTCGAGATCGAGGCCCGCTCGCTGTGGGACAAGGTCAACGGCCAGCCCGACGAGATCCTGTACGCTGGCGAGTACGACCAGTAGCTGGAGCGGGTTGGATAGATTAAAGAAAAGCGTAAAAGTGACATAATCTAATCAACGTTTATTCTAAATCCCATGCCCGCTGCCCGCTGAGCATTCTCATATTCGCCTGTCTTTGAACAAGTCAATCATGCCTTACAAGCAAGCTCAATGAGATAGTCGAGCACTCGAACGTGTGCCGCCTGGCCACAGTCAACTAAGAGACGGGACCCTAAAGTGATCCAAGATTTGCAGGGTCCTTCGACCTGTATCAAGCATACAGTCATTGCAACGACACCCAGCACCGGCCATTAGCCTCGTCGTCTCTCGTACACAATTCCTTCGCTGCTCATCATCACACCAGCAATACTCGTGACATGTCGCATCAACGCTACCCAAAAGAGTGCAGGCGTTCCTTCATAGGCATGCCGCTGCGTGGCCGCATGGCCGCAGTCATGCTGAACTTCACCGGCTGTCCGAGCCAGATGACCACGTCTGTCTGTCACAAGGCGGTTTAGGGAGGGACTAATAGTGAGATATAGAGAATTTGCATCGTCAATCTTCATTTCACCAATCCTGTGACTAAAAACCAGCTTCTTCTGCTGATGTGCCACCCCCCAAGGGACCTATTACTCTCGTACTGCTCCAGCGCATCCGGATATGCACCCTGCCATCCCCGAAGCAGAGAACTCAGACAAAGGCGGCACTCGGTGTGCCGTCCTGGACCGACGGGGCCACCTCGCCAGAGCACGCCTGTGCCTGCGCTCCCTTGCCCTCCCCTTGCTTCTCGTTCTTGAAGATCCACCAGCCAGCGACCGGCTGGACCGTAGTTAGCGCAGTCTCGTCGCCCGCGCCCGCCGAGGCGGCGATGCCGACGGAGCCCGCCACCATGGTGGCCTCGTAGACGTCGCCAAAGTCGTCCACCTTGACGGGCACGGACGCGCAGCCTGGGGTGACCATGTCGATGTCGACGAACGGGAAAGAGAAGTCCTCCTCCTTGTCGTCGTCCGAGGCGGCGGCGGCGGCGGCGCGCATGAAGGCGAACTCATCGCCGTTCTGGCCCCCGCGCTTGGCCTTGCCCTCCTCGTCCCAGAAGCAGAAGACGGTGAGCCAGCCGGTGAGGTAGTCGGTGCCGCTGCCCATGCGGTTGTGCGTCACGATCCTGTTCCAGAAGTTCCCGACGGCCTCGCTCTCGGGCTGCTCAAACGTGAGCAGCATGTGCCGGAGCACGGGGCGGAGCAGCCGCGCGAACCGCTTGGGCTCCTCGCCGAGCAGCTCCAGCTTGTCGACGCGCGCCAGCAGCTTCTCCCAGTCGCCGGCCTCGCCGAGAAGGGTGACGGACGGGATGCCGCAGCACAGCGTGAAGCCGTAGCTGAAGTACTTTTGCATGGCGCCCATGAAGAGGACCGAGCCCACGACCCTGTCAGTCGGGGTGGTGGTGCTGAAGTCTGGCATGACCCAGTCGCGGAGCTCCGGGTCCTTGACGTTCTTGGCGATCATGTCGGTCATCTGCAGCGCGAGCGCGCCAAAGTCGCGCACGTTCGAGACGGCCTCGAGCTCCTTCTTGCCCTGGTGGTCAACGAAGAAGGAGCGCAGCTCCTCGGCGTGAGCGTTGATATAGAAGCTGGTCTGGGTCAGAATGGCGAACCAGATGTCCTCGGGCCGGAGCACGAGATGGTGATGTGTGCGGTAGGCGTGGTAGGCCGCCCAGACGAAGCCGTTCTCGGACGGCGACACATGGGCGGCCCTGAGGTCTGACTCTGTGGAGAGGCCGCTCTGTATAACTCGATCGGACAAGCCTTTGGGCGCGCGTGGCCAGGATTGCTCGAGCAGTTGGCCTGGTGAGGTAACGCTGCCCTTGGCCCAGGCCTCTGGCTTTGTGGGAGCGATCTTGGCAGTGACCGGCATTTCGTCGTGGTGGGTTGGATACACCCTTGGAAATTCAGGAGATGAAGATGAAGCAGCGGCGGGCGTTGGTGTGGAAAAAGCACGCTTGGATGCTATTTTAGTGAATTGGGCGATGAGCGATGACGCAAATCCGAGCTTCGTGGTAGTGCGTCGGTGGCTTGGGCGCTCCTTCTCTTATGGCCGGTGGTTGCCTGATTGGACTGTGTTACTTGGATACCAAGCTCACGTCAGCCGAACGGTTGCTCCCGCAGAGTCTTTGTGGCACTGATGGGATGGAATATAGCAGGCCTTGCAGCATGTGCCAAGGCCCAGGCTCTGGCATTTTAGCATAGCCTATAGAATCTTGGGAATGCGGGGAAAGTCTTCGTTTGATACAAGAGATAGAGACGCCGAAAAGAATAGACCACCAAGAGCTATGGTGTACCTCGGGAGAGTAGTGTTACCCAGACGCCAAAAATAACTCCTAAAAACGCCAAAAGCCGGACCTCGAGTAGATGGACGACGGGAAACAATGAAACCAAAGCCACCGAGTATGAAATACACTAAACAGGGGACCTAGAGGCCCGTAACTCTCTCCCCGTGGAAAGCGTGAGAGTGCCTCGGAAGGGCGGAGCGATCAGATGGGTATAAGGTCCCGCTCATCAGGTTCGATGCTGGCAATCGGGGAATCGGGGTCACACTAAGGCTCCTTCTCTCCTTTGTCTGCCTTATCCCCCTTGGTCTCCTTGTCGGCGCTCTCGGTGGCCTCAGTCTTCTTCTCAGCCTTGTCATCCTTGCTAGGGTCTGCCTTGGCCGCTTCCTTTTCGTCTTTCTTCTCGGTCACTGCGTCAGTTTCTGCAGCCCCTTTCGCTGCGGCTGCGTCGTCCGCGGTATCGGCTGCACTATCGGCCGGCGCAGGTTTGTCGCCGTTGCTCTTCTTGGGTGAGGATGGTGGTGTCTTCTCGGGTGCCTCCTCCTTGATCTCGGCATCCTGCTCCGCGGCCTTTTCCGACTCCTTCTGGGCGGGCTCGGTGGGTTGAGCCTTGTCGTCCGTTGAATCGACCATCTCTACATCCTCTGTCTCAGCCGGGGGTTGCGCCTCCGAATCGCCTCCCGACTTTTTCTTGGCCGCCTCCTCAACATTGGCGACGTCCATGGCTTCTGCGTCCTCCATGACCGTGTCGTCCTCGTCGCGTGTGCGTCCCTTGGAGGCCCGTCGGTGCGGGGCTGGCGCTACCTTGCCTAGCTCCGGGTCAAAGTCGGCCTGTGCATGTGGGTTCTTGTGGTTCATGATGGAAGGTCGTCGCTTCGCTGTTGCCGAGACTCCGTTGGCATGTGCCAGCTCTTCGTCGTCGCTGTCTTCAAACTCGTCCTGCCTCGCCACGCTCTTCTCCCACTGCCTCTGTGTGACACGGACGTCGGGGTTCTCGTCCTGGTCAAGATCGTCGAGCTCCGCCTCCTCCTCGTCTGTCATGCCCATGCTGGCTCTTGGGATATCCTGCATTTGGACCGAAGGTACAGGAGCTGTCTTTCGCAGGTTTTCGATGACCGAGATCTTGATCTTCTCCAGGTACTCATTGCTGTTCGCGTTCTCCATGTTAGACGCGCGAACATCCAGCTCGTAATCCGGGCCGTAATACTGCAAAGCATGAGAACTGTTAGCGACGGCGCAGTGCGCAGCGGATATGGTCACATCTTACTTCGTAGTACTCGTTGTACGGCAGCTCCCTCGACATTTCGACGCCGACCAAGCGTCCTGTCTCGTAGGCCCATGTGCGTGCCACGTTGCGCATGGTATATCCTCCCCCTCCGAGAACCAGGGTGGGCAGACCAAAACCGCGCACAAAGTCCACGCAGTTAGCGTGACCACGCATGCTCAGGTTGAAGCAGCCCAAGCGATCACCGGACAGACTGTCGCTGCCGCATTGGAGGACGACTGCCTCGGGCTGGAAGTACTTCATGACGGCGTCAATAACGGGCTCAAAGATCTTCTTGTACGAATCGTCGTCGATGCCATCCCTAAGAGGAAAGTTGACGGCGTAGTGTTTTCCGGGGCCGATTCCAATGTCGCGCAGCTCGCCGGTTCCGGGGAAGTACTCTCCATACTTGTGAAACGACACTGTCATGACACGGTCGGTTGTGTAGAAAGCCTCCTCGACGCCGTCGCCGTGATGAACGTCGATGTCGATGTACAGGACCCGCTTCTTGAAACGCAGCAGCTCAATGATGGCGAGAACGATGTCTGTGAGGGGCCGAGGTGTCAGTTCGTCACATCCTATTCCTCGAGGGGAACACAGTCTCTCGCCCAAGAGTGCCATTGACCACGCACCGTTGACGTAACAGAACCCGCTAGCTTCGCTCTTCTTGGCGTGGTGGAGGCCGCCGGCCCAGTTGACGGCGATGTCGCACTTGGCGCGGTTGAGGCGCGCGGCGCCCTCCATGCTGCCGCCCGCGCTGATACCGCAGAACTCGAACAGGCCGTCAAAAACGGGGCAGTCGTCGCCGACATTGTACTTGCTCTGCTCTTTAACGTAGCCATCCATGTTGTCGGGGGTGACCCTCTGGAGGAACTCGATGTACTCGTCCGTGTGGAATTGGGTCATCTCAGTGAAGACGGCGGGTTTGGCGCGCTGTGCGGGAATGAGCTGTCTGTTAGCACCATGAATCCTAGCGCAATCTGTACAGCTGCAATGAGGCGACATCCGAGCCTCATGTTCTCGGGTTCAAAGTCGCACTATTCGCGACCAAGCATGCGGCGAGGGGAGGCCTGGAGGATATGGAGGGGTGGGACAGAGCATGAGCAACGTACGTAGACCTCAAGGAACTTGTAGACGCCATAGTTCATAACCAGGCTGTGGGCAAGCCGAATTCGGTGAGGCTTCATGGGATGACCCGTGACGTAGGCATAGTTGCCAATGTCGGAGTCGTAGAAGTAGGCGACGCGCTTCTTGTCAGTGTTCACGACCTTGTAGTGCAGCGGGGCGTCGGCGCTGCTCGAAGGCGACAGCTCCCACCGGTCTGAGGCATCCATTGAGGAGCAGATTGTATAAACTTGGCAGAGAAGTGTTATTTAGTGATTGGAATGGTTCCCGAGGAAGAAAGAGCGTTTGTGCGCGCGGCGCTTGCTCGACTTGCAGGTGGGGAGGAAGCAGAGAAGCGACGCGGCTGGCGGCGGTGTTGTAGGCATGTAATGGAGCTTGAAAATGAAGCTTGAGGAGCGCCCACATGGATGGGAGGCTCGGGCTAGCCTTTTGAGGTTAGCGCATCAAAGAGAGCCCCGCATGCTCCATCCAAGCCACATATGCCAACCAGCATGTTCGTTGACCTAAGACACCAGCCACACTCAGAACCACGCAGAAGTGGCCCAAGCTTAAGCATGCACGGCTTCTGTCCCCACCGCCAGGCTGCGCTGAGCTGCGTCAACTGTGCCGGATCAAGCGTTCGGTTTTGTTGCGCTCGTGGAAAACACGGCCGCTTCAAACCTCAGCTGCCAGATTTCCTCGACGATCAAGCATACAGGGCACGCTCTCTTCCCCCGACACACCACTCCCGACCGCCGGTATCGCCCTATCCTGGAATCTCGACTAGTCTTTCCGCCTCCTCCCCCGCCTCGGTAGCCCTTAACATCAAAATGGAGCGCTTCCGAAGCATGCTAAGCGTGGGCGGCATGGGCGCCGCCGTCCCGGGAACCGTAAGCCCTGCCCAGCCCATGTTCTCAGATCCCAGAATGCCCTCGAACATGTGGCCTCTCTGCTTCTTGCCACGACGCCGTCCCGATTGCTAACAGCACCCCGCAGGACAACACGAACCTGATCGATAATTCCGAGACCGTCTACATCTCCTCCCTCGCCCTCCTCAAGATGCTGCGGCACGGCCGGGCGGGTGTACCCATGGAGGTCATGGGTCTCATGCTGGGCGAGTTCGTCGACGAGTTCACAGTCCGCGTGGTGGACGTCTTCGCCATGCCCCAAAGCGGTACCGGCGTCAGTGTCGAGGCGGTCGACCCGGTGTTCCAGATGAAGATGATGGACATGCTCCGGCAAACGGGAAGGTGTGTTATGGTTCCTGGGTGCTAGGCAATGCTGCTCGAGAGCGCGCTATTCCACACCTGCCTGTCCAACAGCAACTGACAAATCCAAATCTCGCCCGCAGGCCCGAATCTGTGGTTGGATGGTACCATTCGCATCCCGGTTTTGGCTGCTGGCTGTCTTCGGTCGACATCAACACCCAGCAGTCTTTCGAGCAGCTGACACCCCGCGCCGTTGCCGTCGTCGTTGACCCCATCCAGTCGGTCAAGGGCAAGGTTGTCATCGACGCCTTTCGCCTGATCAACCCCCAGTCGCTGATGCTCGGCCAAGAGCCCCGCCAAAGCACGTCCAATCTGGGTCACCTGAACAAGCCGTCGATCCAGGCATTGATCCACGGTCTGAACCGCCACTACTACTCTATCGGCATCAATTATAGGAAAACGGCGCTCGAGGAGAACATGCTCATGAACCTGCACAAGCAGGTGTGGACTGAGGCACTACAGATGGACGACTTCCGCGCCGAGGGCCAGCGCAACAAGGAGCGCCTTGAACGCCTTGTAACCCTGGCCGATGGCTACGAGAAGCGTGTCAAGGAGGAGACGGAGCTGACCAAGGACCAACTTAAGACGCGCTACGTCGGCAAGCTGGATCCGAAGAAGCATCTTGAGGACGTGGGCCAGCAGCTGATTGAGGACAACATCGTTGCCGTGTCAAGGCAGATGATCGACAAGGAGGCGACCATGCCCAAAAAGGACACCCCCTCCAACGGTCGTTCCGGCGGCGGCGACCAGATGGAGGTTGAGGAGGAGCTATGATTTACATGGTGCGTCATTGGTCACGGGCCAGCCCCGTTTCTCTTGTCGGAGAGGGGAGCCGGGCCTCTCTCCCAAGGGTTCCTTTAGCAATGCTCCAGGCAAGACCGAATAGACCTGGTTTGCTTGTACTAGTAGGGCGGGTGGCGTTGGGCTGGATTAAAGACAGGTACATTAAAGATGTGATGCGCCAGGTTCAAGTCTACGAAATAGCTAGGCGTGGTTGACATTCTGGCTGGAAGCAACCGCCAATGGCTTTCGTCTTGACGCTCCCAACAAAGAACTTCCCTAATTATTGTGACTGGGAGATCCTTGTACTAAGTCTTTGTCCCCTTTGTCGTTCTGAGTGGCCGCTTTCGTTGGGCTTGGAACGACCCCGAAACAAAGAATTCACGACAGGTCTGTTCGGGACAACTAATTGTTTGTTGGGATCACAATGGCTTTCGCAGTCACTATATCTTTGGTCATCCCTGCCGCACTTTTCTCTGGTTTCCTTATTCCAACAACTTTTGCCGCTTTGAGTCGCTTCCGTCCCCGGATATAGCAGCCAGACACGCTCCATTCCAACCTAGACCACAGCATCAACACTCAAAGTCGCATCTCTCCATCCACAACACAAACTCAAACCCTCCAGGGTAGAGGGTGAGCCTTGGATGGCTCATCGGTCTATCCGAGAATCATCAGGGACCCGTAACAAGCGCCGCTCGTTCAACCTGTTCGCGAAGCTCACTTCTTGCTTCGGGTCCCTGTCACCTTTTACTCGCAAATCTTGCACCAAGACGAGCGGCCCCCAAACTGATACCCTACACCCGAGGCCTGCCTGTGCCCCCCAGCCACTGGTCGAGAGTGGCCGGCAGGCCTCGGCTCTCAACCCCAGACTGACCGTCCCTCTGCCGGTCAGATCCCCCAAGCTCCGAGTTCCCCATCGTCAGCAGGAACAAGGCTCGAAATCGTCGGGCCAAGTCCGCTACTCGACCCAAAGTAACCCCACTAACTTCAGGAGATCCGGGACGAGCAGCCACCGCAGATCAATGAACGAGCAGGACCGCCTTAACCGGCTGTCGCCGGAGCTGCTGACCCCAGACGTGCTGGCGGAGACGCTCCACATCTTCGACAAGGCGATGCGGCACACGCCCTACGCCGTCAGCGGCATGTCGGCATACGCGGCGTGGGGCTACACGGCAAAGTGCCCCCGGCACGTGTCCGTCGTGGTGCCGGCCTACTCCAAGGACACGATCCGGAGCTGGGCCAGGACCGCGGGCTTCGACACCTTTGCGACGAGGCCCGACCTCCTGGGCGTGTGCACGGCCGACGGCAAGTTCCGCCGCGTCCGGCTCCGGTACATCGAGAACCCCGACGACGACGGCTGGGGCGACTTCCGCTCCGTGCGCCTGCCCATGTTCATGCCCCCCGCGCTTCTGGCGAGGACTGCCGGCGGCGGCGGACGCGACGGCGGGGAGGGGGAGGTGGGAGGGGACGAGGTCGCCACGGAGGCGACGCCCGTGGTCCTCCAGCTCCCAACGCTGTTCAACCTGGCCGCCCACACCTTCATGTCGGACGCGGCGCGGTCGTCGTCAGGCATGCGCGCCAGCATCGGCCGCGACATCCTGTGGATGCTCGAGCGCATGTCCCGGAGGACGCCCGGCGAGGAGGGCGCGGGCCCGCTGGCGCCCGACGCGGCGTCGATGCTCAAGGACGCCGGGTTCTGGCGCGAGTTCACCTTTGCCTTCCCCAGGGCCCCCGCGCTCTTCGTCACCGCCGGCATGGGCCCCGCGCTCGTCGGGCAGATGGTGGCCGAGGCCGAGGGCCGGCCGCATCGTCGCCCCAACCGCCCACACCACTACCACCACCACCAGCGGGAGCAGGAGCAGGAGCAGCCGCCTCGGCCTCCCCCTACGCCCCCAAAGGACGCAAAGTGGCAGGCTCCGCCGCCGCCGCCGCCCGCCGCCCCGCGTCTGCCAGAGGGTGGTAACCGCGCCTCACTTCCACGCCGCGATGGCGGTTACGAGCCGTATCGTCCCGGTCCCGAAACAGTGCTCGGATTCGGCAGGGTAACAAGAAGCGCGACCGCCCCCGCCACTGCCACCCGCGCCCAGTCCCCCGACGTCGTCAACAACGGCCGCAGCAGCAGCGCCCCTGGGGGCAGTGGCAGCAGCAGTAGATACTCGGGCCTGTCGGCCGTGCCAGCCGCCCTGCTGCCCTGCGGCGGCCGCAATCGCGCCCCCGCCCCCGCCGCCGGAGGAGGAGGGGACGACTGGCTCGCCGACTGGAGCCGGGCGCTGGGCCGCGAGGCGCCCCGGAGGAACGACCCGGAGTCCCAGCGCCAGCGCGCCCGACAGGGAATCGCGCCGCCGCCAGAGAGCCGCCGGAACCCATATAGGGACGAGTAGAGAGAAGTATCCTTCCATCATCTCCACCCCTCCCCAAAACCATCCCTTCCCTCAAACAATACATTCCAGTGGGATAAGCCACTGCTAACTTTTAGGTTACGCTCCACCATATCTTCTTTGTTATAAATTTTGTTTGTATTTTCTTTTTCCTCTGCCATCTTCCCCGTTCCTCGCTGAGTCAGTCCGTAAATGGCAATTTTTCAGCTGCCCCTTATCTGCCTACCTCTCGGTCGTCATGGCTTACTCGTTTCGCCTCCGTCCTAATGGTGCGCCCCTGTGAAATGCCGATCTGTGCAAGCCCAACGTGGCGGAGACGATGTTTGTGATGGCGCTGAACTTTCCTTTAGCCACACAAAACCGGGCCGCAACGCTAGCAACTCAAAATCGCCACCAAGTAGTGTCCAGGCTCGAAAGAAAGCCCGTGACAGAGTTGTGACGAAGAGGGGAGGCCACGGGAAAATGGGACGTCAAGTTTCGCATCACCATGGGCAGACGGTTGGCACCGATTCATTGCCGTCACAGCACGTAAAATCGCTTCCAATAAATCGAAATTCGCTAGCGTTAGACTCTCTCATGATGTATATCAAACGCCATGTGTCTTGATGTTTTCCTTCTCGGATACCAGTTCGGGTCCTCGACACGCAGTTGCGGCCGGATCAACGAAGACGCCGACTGGCCGGAGCAGCTCAGATCGAGACTGGTCAGCGAGCCCGGGGTTTGCACCTTTGGCATGTTGATCTCGTGCAACTCGACGCTGTTGCCGCCGTTGGAGTCGTTCCTGACGCCGCGGTGGTGGTGTTGGTGGTGGTGGTGGCCGGACGCCCCGCCTGTCGTCACGGCTGTCCTGGTCATCGCGGGAATCGGCTGCGTCGGCCACAACTTGGCGACCTCCTCGCCTCCGCCGCCGCCGCCGCCGTCGAGCCGGGCCCAGGGGCCGTAGCCGCCGGAGAACAACCACTGGCCGTCACCGCCGCCGCCGCCGCCGGACGGGTGCCCGGCGGCCATGTCTTCGAGTAGCGACTCGCGATTGCGCGACTCGACCCGGACCTCTGCCGTCACCTGGATGACGAGGATGCGCGAGATGCGCGAGATGTGGCGGAGCAGCACGGGCCAGAAGACGGGCACGCTCGCAACCACGCTGGCGCAGTTGATTTCGAGCACCGAGAGCACGATCGGGGTCGCCGTGTAGAAGAAAGGGTCCAACGTCGGCCACGACCCGGCCTTGTTCTGCATCAGGGACTGCATCCTCCATATCGCCAGCCCGGTGACGCTTTTTGTGCCGGCGCGGGGGTGAGGGATTGCTGTGGTCAGCTTCCTTTCCTTTCTATCTCCAACTCGCTGCCAGACCCGGCTGGGTTGGAAGGGTTATCTCTTACAAGGCTCCCATGACCACCAGCGCGAGAAGGCCGTGCTTGGCCTGGGCAGACGTGTCCTTTTTCCAGAACAAGGGGGCGGCAAGGGCGAGGACGGCGAAGTCGAGTACCATGTTGCTCGCGCTGTGGGAGAGGTAGGCAGCGAGCACCTCATCGATATATAGCGACCCGAAGAACCAGCACTTGTCTGATCCCAGGGAGGACCAGAATTGAGATACCTGTGAACAAGGGTACCAGACCATGGCTGAGAAGCCGATGCCCCACACGGAGACCACGACGGTCGTGGCGACGAGAAGGCGGTAGTGGAGCTTTCCTAGGTTGGGTATTCGTAGGTACTGAAATAGTAGCGAGAGCTTTATGATGGTTGTCGCTACTACGTAGACTCCAGACGCGTAGTAGAACATCTGAGATGGAAAGGGGTTAATAGTTGATCGGGAATGCAGCACCTCCTGTGTTGGCTCGAGGTCTTTTCACGTTTCTGGCAACCGAAAAACATTGGACAGGGTAGTGGGCGGGAAAAGGGAAGATGGGCAATGGTCTTCCTCACGTGTCTGAACCCCATAACGGTCATCAGCTTCATCTTCATTATGTGCATTCCCCATCCGCGCTTCGTCACTACGACAACATCGAGATGTGTTAGACTGTAGACGGTACAAATGCTGGGGTCGGGATTGGTGCAGCCATGTTTCTGCTCCCCAAGTCGCAGCGGCGGGTCGGGACGTGGGCCTGGAGAGGTTCTCTTACACTCGAACACGAGGATGGACTGAGCCACGCCAAAGATCTGGTTGCATCCGACGGAAGGGAGTTCAGTAGCCTTTCTCAACCGCCACGCAGGTAATGAGAGTAAATGGATACTTACCATGTATATGCCGAGGGGCATGTCGTCCCACCCAACCTTTTTAACAATCACCAGACGTGTGTAAAGCCGGAAGAGTATGGCCAAAGTTGATATAACCTGAAAACAGAGAAATTTGGTGCGAATCTGTCAGCCTCGTAATGGCTAAAACGCCCATTCGCATCAACTTCGCTCCACAGGCTCCTTGAACCGGAAGGCTTGATGGATGTTTTCACATACTGTGCTGACAACAATAGCAGCCCTGGCAGTCCTGACATCCGCGAACAGTTGCGGGGCCTCTTTGGAGTTGTCATAGATGCCGAGCAGGCTCGTCATCAGAACACGATCCGGCATTATGTCAGGGCTGGTCAGATAGGCAGCGAGAGGTCTTGGCCGTTGAAAGGTGCTGGTTCAGATCGGCAAGCAAGGCAGTTATGTGCGAGCCGCGAGACACAGAAAAAGAAAGAGAGATGGGGGAAAGAGGAGGTGATACAGTAAAAAAAAAACGAGGTTCGGCTGGCCAGCGTGTGCTTGTTGGCAGAGGACGAGAAGGAGTGCACGAGCTGTGAGAGATAGGTTGAACAACAGCCCGTTTTTGCAACAGCGAGACGCCCGCTACTTGGGCTCTCCATGAGGGGAAAGATTCAAAGATCAGGTAGCAGAGGCTAAAGTGTTGTCAAGCTTTGGTGGCAGACGGCCAAGGGGCCGAGCGTAGACGGCGCGACCTTCCGCGGCGCCATGTCTGTGTCATTGGCGTCACTCGCCCCGTCTAGAGAAAAAGGGGTAGGGGTTTTGCCAGACCACGGGTGCCAGGGAAGCGAGCGCCCTGTGAGTCTCCCCGCGGCCGAACAAGACGGCGCGCCCTAGCTCGAGGCGCCGGCTCAAGGAATGAGCCCACAGACGCCGTCACTATCAGCACGAGATGCTGTGAATCCAAGATTGGCGGCGCGTAGGCCTAGGTTGGACTGGTCCAACACGGCATTCGCCGTGGGCGCGAACGAGGCTAGTAGGCCCTGTTAGGCTTCTCGGCGCTCAACCAGCCTAGGGGCGTAGGTACTTCGGTAGTGTTCTCGGACCGACCAGTCTCAAGCCGCGCCCGAAAGTGTCTATGTATAATTGCTCCCACAAGCCAGGCTGGGAGTTGTCGTAAGCTCCCCGAGACGCAGGAGAAGGGCCGAATCCGCGAGCATATAGGATATCGACGCCGAGAATGATGCGCATGAGCCGGGCGCAAGATGCCCGTGGACCGGAAACCTAGGCGGGAAAACTGCAGGTTTGCGGGTACTGCCGAGGCGCCGCATTCGGAGCCTGTCTCCTTCCTAGACTCCAGCCGCGGTGGATTGGGTTCCCGCTCTTGGCCAGGCGGGCAAGGGCAGATTTCCGGCGGTGAGGAAGCGGGCGGGGTTCTGGTGCATTCTTTTCATGTTCAACACCACCACACCACCTGCGGGGGTCGCTGCCAACAGCAGCAGCGCCAGCGTAACTGCATGCGACACAGCGGGGTGCGGTACTGCCTAGACCCCATGTGGGTGCGGGTGATTCCAGATCGATCGCGTGGCATGCCTGGAGGCTCAAAGTTTGCCAACTCGAGCGACGTGTTTCGAGCCACATTCGATAATATGGACGTGGGAGCGCCGCTTGTACCCGCAAAAAGGATTCAATATTGAATCTGTGACACCCAGGGGTGGCGACTTTTAATCCTCTTTTTGCTATTCCTCGGTCAGGTGTTGCTTACTCGGGGAAAAATGGAGTGCCTGGCCGCCTACGTGATGTGATGTGCGAGGGGAGGGGAAGCCTCGGATGCGCATAAAGTGGCCGTCAGCTGGGCCGGCCCAACACAGCAGGCGGTGTCCGGGACGTTTGCCATATCTGGCTTAGAGGATATGAGGGTCGCCGAGACCTCCCCCTTCTTCAACGGTCCCAAACCCAAGATTCATTTTCGTCCGGTGAGAATTAGACTAGATTGGGCGAGAGAAGGGGGGAATCCCAAGTGGAGGGGAGAGGGGACCTCCTTGGCTGCATCCAGGGTGCGCAGAATAGGAAGGACTCAAATATTAGATGGGTCCCACGTTAATTCGCCTGCTTCCTTCTCGGGTAGTCCCTCTCCAGATTGTATCCATCTCTCAACATGATCCCCAGAGGCACCCACCTGACCGCCCTGCTGGCCACGGCCTCCTCCCTCCACGTCGCCTGGGCCTCGACCCCCTGCGGCGGCGGGCCGGACCTCGAGACGGACGTGCTCGTTGTTGGCGGCGGCTCGGCCGGCACGTACGCCGCGGTCCGGCTCGCCGACGGTGGCAGGCGCGTGCTGGTGGTGGAGGGCAGCGGCAAGCTCGGCGGCCACGCCAGCACCTACGCGGACCCGGCGACGGGCGGCGTCGTCAACGCGGGCGTGCAGATGCTGCACAACGACTCGGTGGTGCGCGCCTACTGCGGCCGCCTGGGCGTGCCCCTGTCGCCCGTCCCGCCCCGCAACCCCCTGCGGCGCGCCCAGGTCGACCTCCGCACCGGCAGGGAGGTCACGGGCTTCCCGGCGCCCACCGGCAACGAGACCCTCGCCGCGTTTGCGCGCTACCAGCAGTACTACGTGGCCAACTTCCCGGACCTCGAGCGGGGCTACGACGGGGTCCCGGACCCCGTGCCCGCGGACGCGGCGATGCCGTTCGTCGACCTCGCCAAGCGCGAGGGGTTCGACGCGATCCTGAAGACGCTCAACAGCTACAACCAGCCCACCGACATGCTGGCCGAGACGTCCCTGTTCACCCTCAAGTCGTTCGGCCCTTCGCTCATCAATCTCAGCCCCGTGGCGCCCCGCGACCTGATGGACATCTACCGCGCTGCCGCGGGCGTCCTCGGCGACCGCGTGCTGCTCCGCTCAAAGATCGTGAAGCTCGACCGGACCGGCGCGGGCGGCGGCGGCGGCGTCGTCGCCAAGGTCCGCACCTTTGACGGCGCCACCGGCCGCAGCACGGTGAGGACGGTGCGGGCCAAGACGGTGCTCATGGCGGCGTACCCGCTCCCGTCCAACCTGCAGGGCTGGGACGTGACGGCCGAGGAGGCTCGGCTGTTCTCCAAGCTCAAGACCTACTCGTACTTTGCGGGCGTCATCCGGAACCGCGGCGCGGGCGGGGTGCAGATCGAGAACGTCTCGCCCGAGCGGTTCCGCGGCGTGCCCGAGCTGCCGGCCATCTTCAACATTGGGCCCACGCAGCTGCCCGACACGTACACGGTCTACTTTGGCGCGCGCGGCTTCATGGCCAACGACACGGCGCTCGACCTGACGCTGGCCGCCATCGGGCGCCTGGCCGAGGGGGGAGTGATCGGGAGCGCCGAGACCGAGGTGCTCGCGTGGTTCGACCACACGCCGGTGCGGCTGCACGTCGACGCCGAGGACGTCGCGGCCGGGTACTACAAGGATTTGTATGCGCTTCAGGGCAAGACGAAGACGTGGTGGACCGGGGCGGCGTGGCAGACGCAGGACTCGAGCCAGATTTGGGCGTTTACGCAGAGGTTGGTGGAGAGGATGCTGGACTCGTGATGTCGGAAGTGGGCTGGGGTGTAGAAATCGTGCTTGAAGAAAATAAGAAAATTTAAATGATATCTGAGTGTAAGGATTATGTGCCCTTGTTGGCCCTGGAAGATTTAGGCCACCCAGCCAGAACCGCCCTAGAGCCCTCAAATTTTATCGTTCCCCCACCGTTCACAACACAGGGAATTGGATCGGCTGCTCTCGAAGCACAGCCAAGAAGTTCCGTCACCTTTGGCGGAAACCTTCTCCAGTTCCTGTCAGATCAGTACTTTGGTTATCCCGGGATACATTGGCCATGACTTTTGTGTCAATGCATTCAACGACCAAGAAATCCACTTGGCGAGACTGTAGCTAGGCATTTCGAGTCTTTACAGCACATATTTTGATACAGATCTTACATACATATCACTGAGGTGTCTGCTAACCTTCCCTTTTTGGTACTCGAACCCATCCTTCCTCACACCATACAAGGCAACCTTTCCCATTCATGCACACATTGGGCGCCAGCCTTCCAAACAGCGGGCTCGACAGCGACAGCACAAGTCAGGTAGGCAGGGACAAGATGGCCGCGAAACCACCCCCTTCGCTCTGCAAGTATTGCGCGCAGATCGACTTCAGCATCCTGCGCCTCCCGACCGACGCGGACCTCGACGCGGCCAACCGCGGCGCCGTCGTCGACGCCCAGCCGTTCCGCCTCAGCCGCGACATGGCGGCCGGGCGCGTCCGGCCCCCTCGCTGGCGTCTGGGGTCGCGCGCCCGCATCGAGCGGTCCTCGGCCACCTGCGGGCTCTGCGCCGCCATCTGCGCCCTCGTCCGCGACACGCCCGACATCCGGTCCGCCTTGGCGGGCCACAAAACAATAGATGGCGGCGGCGGTACCGGCGGGCTGCTGTGCTCCGCGGGTGTCGAAGGCACTGTAGAACTACACCCGCTGCCGGGAAAGGGGTGGGAGGCGAGCACGGGCTACTACCGCTGCTATCGGCTCGGCCTGGACTGGTGGACCCCCCGCGGCCCCGACGACCTGGAGCTGCCGCCCGGGCACGTGGGCGGCGAGTACAGCGCCGCGGCGGTCGGGCCCGCCGTCACCTCGGCCGTCGACTGCTTCCAGACCTATGGTGGGAGTGGCGGCGGCGGCGCGGAAGGCGGCCGGCCGCAGTTTGGGGGGAGGATCAGGCCGCCCATGGTTGACATGAGCCTGCCGAAAAGATGGCTGAACGACTGCATCGAGGGGCACGGCGGCGAATGTCAAGGCTGGGCTGCGCATCAAGCCGATGGTGTGGTCAGGGAGCTCGCCGCGCCGGCGCTGCCACGACTCCTGCGGCTGATCGACACTCGGAGCAAGCGGCTGGTCGAGTTCGAGAACCCGATGGCTAGTCACCTGCACTATGCCGCACTTAGCTACGTCTGGGGCGAGAAGCAACGCATAGTCCTCCTCTCATCCAACCACGCCGCCCTCCAGCTCCCCCACTGCCTCGACGGCGAGGTGGCCTCGCCCACGATCCAAGACGCGATCCAGTTCGTCGCCGCGCTGGGCATCCCCTACATCTGGGTCGACGCCCTCTGCATCATGCAGGACAGCGCCGCCGACAAGGCCGTCCAGATCGGCGCCATGGCCGCCGTCTACGCCTGCGCCGCCGTCACCGTCGTAGCCGCCGCCGGGCCCGACGCCGGCTCGCGGCTGCCGGGCGTGCGCGAGCCGCGGACCAGAAAGCAGACTCGCGTGCGCGTCGGCCCCGACGTGGAGCTGCTGACGTCGCTCTCGCCCCTCGTCGCCCGCGCGGCTAGCCGGTCGGCCATCCCGGGCGACGCGCACGTGCTCAACAGCACGGCATGGGCGACGCGCGGCTGGACGCTGCAGGAGCGCGCCGTGTCGCGCCGCCTGCTCGCCTTCACGCCCGACCAGCTGGTCTGGAGCTGCCCGGCGCTGGCCGAGTGCGAGGAGACCGAGTGCTCGTCGTCGTCGTCGCCAGATCTGGCCGTGGCCAGGTTCGACGCGCTCGGCAGCCGCACCCCGCAGCGCCTGAGCCTGACGGAACGCTTCGCCAACGGGCCGTCGGGAGCGGGGGAGGAGGAGGATGGGCGCGGCCACTTTTGGTACGCGTTCCAGCACCTGGTGCTGGACTTTTCGTCGCGCGCCCTGCGCTTCCCGGGCGACGCGCACGACGCCTTCGGCGCCGTGCTCGCGCAGGCGGCCGCCATGACGGGCGAGGAGTTCGTGTGGGCGTTGCCCGCGGGTCAGTTCGCATTGGCCTTGACGTGGACGCCGTGGCGGGAGGGTTTGAGGAGGAGGGAGGAGGTGACGACGTTGCCCGCCACCACGCTCAACAGAGAGGTGCCGTTTCCGTCCTGGTCGTGGCTGGGGTGGACGGGGAGGGTTCAGTACCGGATAGGCGAGCAGGTGGAGGCAGGGTGAGTGGCTGCCCGACCGTGTTGGTGATGGGCATGCTAATACTGACGCGCTAACTTCTCCACAGCCTTGAACCGAACGTCGTCTGTTATACCATCAGACATGCACCCAGCATCCATCTGCAGCGAATAGGGGGCGCGGCGGATGTGCCTGCACCCAAGGCGCCGAAAACGCCTCCTACTACAGTTACTCTACAAGACATTCAACAGCACTACCCCCAGTTGGGAGGGCCGGCGGGACTCAGCAACGTCCCCGACAACCAGATGATCTTTTTCTGGGCCGAGTGCGCCTACTTCAACATTTCCGCCAGGCTAGACATGGGCCGCGGCATCTTCATGAGGTTCGTGTATGACGCCAACGGCGTGAACGTGGGAAGGATTTCACCCTGTCGCGAGGACACTCAGGAGGAGGACCCTGAGACCGCGCACCGTCGCTTCGTTCTCTTGGCCACCAGTAAGCAGACGAGCATCCCATCCGAGAAGATTGTCCTGATGCTGCAGCTACGCGATGGAGTTTGGTTTCGGTCAGACATGGCCGTTATAGAGGAGGACGGGTGGTTGAGCGCTGGTCCAAAGAGCGAGTTGGTGGGCCTTGCTTGAGGACGAAGATTGCACATCCATCTGTCCAGGCCAACCTAGAACAGCGTAGGCAATGTCCCAGACGGCTTTCCGCAAGGCAGATCATGTCCCCTGCACACCATTCTTCCTGCAGTTAGGTGCCCCTCAAGGAAGTGGTAGGCAACCATTCGGGCACCAGTAAAAGTGTGCATCTGCCCAATCGGATCCGAAGATGATCCCATGCAGCAGTGTGGCAGTGTATGTAGATATTGGACAGCCCTCCCTTGGCGCAGAGGGGCGCGGCAGGCTGCCCGCCCTCCCCCTACGCCAAGCAGCCGCTTCAAAGTCACTAGTCGCTATCCCTTGCCACATCTATCGCTGCCATTGGGCCTTGTAATACTGCCCCTCCGCGGGCTTGCTCTCGTCCCAGACGTGGCAGTCGGAGGTGCGAGGCGGTTGGCGTCGTCGAGTAGGGGACATACTACCCCACCTTCCTCAAATCCAAAGACTTTGCCGCTCCCAAGTGCCTTGCTTGGCCCTCCCAACCCAGCCGTACCCCC